GGAGGCGGAGCGGAGGTGAGCTGGGGCGGGAAGCGGTTCCCGTGCGCGCCCCTCCCCCCGGGTTACCTGCTGTGGCGCGGACGGCTCCCCCCACCCCAGCTCACCTCCGCTCCGTCTCCGCCTCCCTGGGCTTGAGCGCGAAGCCGCTGCTTGCTTCTCTGCTCTCCCAGGCTTCCCGCGCGAACAGCTGATTCGCGGGAAGCGGGGGGGGAGGGGGAGAAGCGGGGCGGAGTGTTCAGAGGCGGAGGCGGAGCGGAGGTGAGCTGGGGCCGGGGAGCGGGGCGGAGAGCTGGAGCACCCATGGGGTCGGCTCTTAAGGCACCACTTTTGCATAATGTGCTCAGGGGGATCAGCTGCTCCCTCTGCTCCACCCCAGCTATCGTCCTGGTCACTTCAACTTATCAGTTGTTAAATTTAGAAGCCCTTTTAGAACCGGTCCCGCGCAGGACAACTGGTTCTAAAAGGGCTTCTAAATTTAACAACCGGTTCCCGCGAACCGGCTCCCGCTCACCACTGGAGACTCCCCTTGCCGCTCTCACCCTAGGAGCCAGAGACCTCCCAGCAGGGCTGGTGAGTGCGGCCAGGGAAGGGGGAAGGGTGTGGTGGAGTGAGTTTCTGGGAGGTGTGCGGGGGGTGTTGGGCTGTGAGGGTGTGGAGGGCGCTGGGCAGTGGGGGAGGTTTGTGTGTTTTGGGGTGCTAGGCAGTGGGGGCCTGTTGGGGGGTGCTGGGCAGTGAGGGAGATCTCATAGACTCATAGACTCTAAGGTCAGAAGGGACCATTATGATCATCTAGTCTGACCTCCCGCATGATGCGGGCCACAAAACCTGACCCACCCATTCCTGGAAGAATTCTCTCCCTTGACTTAGCTGTTGAACTCCCCAAATCATTATTTAAAGACTTCAAGTCGCTGAGAATCCTCCAGCAAGCAACCCCTGCCCCATGCTGCGGAGGAAGGCAAAAAACCTCCAGGGCCTCTGCCAATCTACCCTGGAGGAAAATTCCTTCCCGACCCCAAATATGGCGATCAGCTGAACCCCGAGCATGCGGGCAAGATTCTCTAGCCAGACCGCCTGGAAAAGTTCTCTGTAGTAACTTTTAATATCCCATCATTGACCATTGTTATTGACCTATTGACTAAAATTACTGTATCCCATCAAACTATCCCCTCCATAAACTTATCAAGCTTAATCTTAAAGCCAGAGAGGTCTTTCGCCCCCACTGTTTCCCTTGGAAGGCTGTTCCAAAACTTCACCCCTCTGATGGTTAGAAACCGTCATCTAATTTTAAGCCTAAACTTCCCGACGGCCAGTTCTAGTGTCCACATTAGTACTGAGCTAAAATAATTCCTCTCCCTCCCTGGTATTTATCCCTCTGATATATTTAAAGAGAGCAATCATATCCCCCCTCAGCCTTCTTTTGGTTAAGGTAAACAAACCGAGCTCCACGAGTCTCCTTTCATACGGCAGATTTTCCATTCCTCGGATCATCCTAGTGGCCCTTCTCTGTACCCGTTCCAGTTTGATTTAATCCTTTTTAAACATGGGAGATCAGAACTGCACACAGTACTCCAAATGAGGTCTCACCAGTGCCTTGTATAACGGAACCAGCACCTCCTTATCCCTACTAGAAATACCTCGCTTAATGCATCCCAAGACCGCATTAGCTTTTTTCATGGCCACGTCACATTGCCGACTCATAGTCATCCTGCGATCAACCAGGACTCCGAGGTCCTTCTCCTCTTCCGTTACATCCAACTGATGCGTCCCCAGCTTATAACTAAAATTCTTGTTAGTTATCCCTAAATGCATAACCTTACACTTCTCACTATTAAATTTCATCTTATTACTATTACTGCAGTTTACAAGGTCATCCAAATCTCCCTGCAGGATATCCCGATCCTTCTCCGAATTGGCAATACCTCCCAATTTTGTGTCATCCGCAAACTTTATCAGCCCACTCCTACATTTGGTTCCGAGGTCAGTAATGAATAGATTAAATAAAATTGGACCCAAAACCAAACCTTGAGGAACTCCACTGGTAACCTCCCTCCAACCTGACAGTTCACCTTTTAGTACGACCTGCTGCAGTCTCCCCTTTAACCAGTTCCTTATCCACCTATGGATTTTCATATCGATCCCCATCTTTTCCAATTTAACCAATAATTCCTCATGCGGTACCGTATCAAACGCTTTACTGAAATTGAGGTATATTAGATCCACCGCATTTCCTTTATCAAAAAAAATCTGTTACTTTCTCAAAGAAGGAGATCAGGTTGGTTTGGCACGATCTACCTTTCGTAAAACCGTGTTGTAATTTGTCCCAATTGGCATTGACCTCAAGGTCCTTAACTACTTTCTCCTTCAAAATTTTTTCCAAGACCTTGCATATTGCAGATGTTAGACTAACAGGCCTGTAGTTACCCGGGTCACTTTTTTTCCCCATCTTGAAAATAGGAACCACATTAGCTATTCTCCAGTCAAACGGTACCACGCCCGAGTTTATGGATTCATTAAAAATTATCGCTAACGGGCTTGCAATTTCCCATGCCAGTTCTTTTAATATTCTCGGATGAAGATCATCCGGTCCGCCCGATTTAGTCCCGTTAAGCTGTTCGAGTTTGGCTTCTACCTCGGATACGGTAATGTCAGTCCCACTCCTTTATTCCCATCCGTCTCGCCTCTACTATTCCTCAGCCTTTCATTAGCCTCGTTAAATACCGATGCAAAATATTCATTTAGATATTGTGCCATGCCTAGATTATCCTTAATCTCCACTCCATCTATAGTCTTAAGCGGTCCCACTTCTTCTTTCTTTGTTTTCTTCCTATTTATATGGCTATAAAAGCTCTTACTATTGGTTTTAATTCCCTTCGCAAGGGCCAACTCTACTCGGCTTTTTGCTTTTCTCACTCCATCTCTACATGCTCTGACCTCAATAAGGTAGGTTTCTTTGCTGATCCCCCCCTTCTTCCACTCCCTGTATGCTTCCTGTTTTTTCTTAATGACCCCTCTGAGATGCTTGCTCATCCAGCTCGGTCTAAATCTCCTGCCTATGAACCGTTTTCTCTTTCTTGGGATACACGCCTCTGACAGCTCCTGCAATTTCAACTTGAAATAATCCCAGGCGCCTTCCACTTTTAGATCCTAAATATGTTAGTCCAATCCACTTCCCTAACCAGTCTCCTTAATTTATTAAAGTTAGCCCT